GATGGAGAGTGCAAAGAGGGAGCGCGTATGGGGACGGTGACCGCACGGGAGGGGGGGTGGAGACCACCGGCGGGGGGCGCGTCGGGGAGGGGGTGGGGAGGGTGGGGGGGGAGGACACCGCGGGCGGGGGGCGAGTCTGGGGGGGACGGAGACCGCGGGCGGAGGGAGCTTCGGGGGGGCTGCAGGAGGAGGGAGGCGGAGACCGCGGGCGGGGGCGCGTCCGGGGTGGGATGGGGAGGTGCGGGGGAGGACACCGTGGGTGAGGGGCGCGTGGGTAATGGGGCGGAGACCGCGGGTGGGGGGCAGTCACCCCCTCTACCGGAAACTGGCACTTGACTCGGAGCGCACCCTCTGCGTCTCCTTGGCAACCAGCCTCGGCCCCACCCCTCTCTCCCCCTCGCGTCCAGAGGAAATGGGCGTGCGTGCCTTGTACGCTTCCGGTACGAAGAGGGGCGGGAGCGATTGTGAACTGGCGGCGAGCAGGACCAATCGCAGAAGACGGCTGGCGAAGAGCCAATTGCCAGGGCCGGTGGGCGCGGGCAGGGGCGGAGTCTAGGGCGGGGCTGACGAGGCCGAGCCAATCGAGGCGACCCGCAGGGCCGGGGCGGGGCCGGAGCTGGGGTGGGGCCGGGGCGAGCTTGGGGCGGTAGCGCCGGCTGCGGCAACTGCGGCCACTTCGGGCGGGCTCTGGGCTCGGGCTCCCGGGCAGCGGCCGGCCTGGCCATGCTGCAGCTGCGGGACTCGGTGGACTCGGCGGGCACGAGCCCCACGGCGGTGCTGGCGGCCGGCGAGGAGGTCGGCGCGGGCGGCGGCGCGGTTGGGGGGCGGCCGGGCGCGGGCACGCCGCTGCGCCAGACGCTGTGGCCGCTCAGCATCCACGACCCCACGCGCCGCGCCCGCGTCAAGGAGTACTTCGTGTTCCGGGTGAGGCGGGCCGGGGGCTGCGCGGAGCGGCTGCGCGGGCGGGGGGGCCGGGGGGGCCGGGGTCGGGGGGGCGCCGGAGGCCGGGGCGTCATCCCACCCTCCTCCCGCGCAGCCCGGCACCATCGAGCAGGCAGTGGAGGAGATTGGCGTGGTGGTGCGGCCGGTGGAGGACGGCGACATCCAGGGCGTGTGGCTGCTGACCGAGTGAGCGGGGCGCGCGGGGGCGCGGAGCCCGGCCGGGTGGCCTGTGCGCGGGGCGCGCCTGGTGACTCCTGTCGTGTGCGGGCAGGGTTGACCACTGGAACAACGAGAAGGAGCGGCTGGTGCTCATCACAGACCAGGCGCTTCTCATCTGCAAGTACGACTTCATCAGCCTTCAGTGCCAGCAGGTGGTCCGCATCGCCTTAAATGCGGTGGACACCATCTCCTGCGGAGAATTCCAGTTTCCCCCGAAGTCGCTCAACAAGTAAGTCTGTTCAGCAGCGAGCCGAGTACCAGGGCCTGTAGTCAGTCCTTCCAAAACCAGCCCCCTGGGTTGTCTTGGGTCTGCCGTTTGGGGAAACATAAAAGCCTCAGCTTCAGATCAATAGAAGCAAGAGACTTCCAGACAGCAGGTGCATTAAAAGGAATTCTGGCACGAAAAGAAGGCTCTTAGGTTTGTAGTAAAATGAATTTGAGGTTGGTCTATGGAGGCAGACCTGACGTGGCATTCTTAAGATGGGGGCCAAACTCAGCATTTTACCTCTGGCCAGGAAAGGATTACACAGGTCACGTCAAGCTCTGCGCTAGTTGAATTTTAACAGAAAAAAGTGTGTTGTTTTCATTTACAGATGTCACTGAAAGTTAAATGTGAAAACATTTAATGGCCGACTTGCCGAAGGGAGTATTGTGAAATATGAGGAGTCTAGACTTTAGTTTGGTTGAGTGACTTCCGCAGTCCAGGTACAGTTTTGCTGCAGAGGCTTGATCGGGGCCTGGAAAGAATGCCAGCTAGCAGTGGGAACTTCTGGACAAAAGACCTAAGTTGCAGACCTGTCATTCATGTGCTCAGCCCACCTACAGAGTCTTCCCATTGCCTATTAAACTGCACTAACTGTGTAAAGATTGGCTTAGCCAACACAGCATACTCAGTTTGCCGTATTCAGAGTGCGTGGTGACTGCAGACTGCTGTCACTCTTAGAGTCCAGAAGTTCTCCTCTGCTGGGAAACGTCGTAGGTCTTGTCCCTGGCCATGGAGCAGCTTCCTTACGTCACCCCCCATACCTGACTGGGCTGCCCGGGAGCGCTGGGGCCTGCTGTGTGAAGTCTTCGTTTCTTCTCTGTAGGCGAGAAGGTTTTGGGATTCGCATTCAGTGGGACAAACAGAGCCGCCCTTCCTTCATAAACAGATGGAACCCCTGGTCCACCAACGTGCCCTATGCCACGTTCATAGAGCATCCGATGGCCGGTGCGGATGAGAAGACAGCCTCTCTGTGCCAAGTAAGAGCCGAAGAGCTGTGCCGCCTGGCTACGATGGCAGCGTCCTAGGCCTGCCCTGCTCACCATGGTGGTCACATGTGGCTGTGGGGCACTCTAACTGCTCTAGTAAAACTGAGGAAACAAACTTCTAAATTTTAAAAGTTTTAGTTAGCTCATGTTGAAATAGCCCTGTGTGCCCAGTGGCTCCTGGTCAGTATAGCTCTAGGACATAGCCCCTTGCAGCCATGATCGCCTTGGAGAAGGGCCCAGTAGGGCTCTGGGCGGTCTGTACTGGTTTACCAGGAGGGGACACCCTGGGGCCAGCGGTGAGGACATAGCTGGGCCCCACTTGCCAGCTGTGCACCTTGGCCTGCTTAGCTAGCCTGGTGGGTGGCAGAGGGATTAAGTAGGTCCCTACGGCAGAACTGCCCCGACCTGCGGAGGGCAAGGCTCTGTGAGGCTTGTCCTCTGTCCCCGTAAGCACGGGGCTAGGCCTGACATGTCCAGAGAGCTACATCAAGAAGGTGAGCTGAGCGACTACGAGGATGTGGCAGAAAAGGCATCACATCCAAGGGCAGCGACGGGGGCTGGCGCAGAAATGGGTGGGGTTTTTCCTGGTATAGATCACTGATCAGCAACATGTTTTCTCTCTCTTTAAAGTTGGAAAGCTTCAAAGCTATGTTAATCCAAGCTGTCAAAAAAGCCCAAAAAGAGAGTCCTCTGCCGGGACAAGCCAACGGTGTGCTGGTCTTGGAGCGTCCCCTCCTCATTGAGACCTACGTGGGATTGATGTCCTTCATTAACAACGAGGCTAAATTGGGTTATTCCATGACCAGAGGCAAAATAGGCTTCTAGATGCTGCCCACAGGCAGACCTGGGGACTCGGGGTGTCAGGCCAGCTCTGCTGCCCCTGGCAGGGTCGGGGCTGTTAACCTTCCAGGAATCTGAGCGTGATTAGAATAGTCAAATGAATCCTATACTATAGCTGAATCTTGGACATCTGGTAATAGGAGCTACAGACAAAAAGCAAAATGAATCTAGCTGTCCCTGTCCTGGCCGGTATTCCATCTTCTAGAACCTGTTTCCGTGTTTTTCCTGGAGTGTCTGCATTTGGCTTCTCATGGTCCTTCCCAGCCCAGCACTCTAGCATGTTAATAAACGTGTGATCCCACTAGAACCTCCCTGCTAGTGCTTCAACTGTGTAGATTGTTCCACCCAGGGAGGTCCCTAAACCCCAGTGCCTGTAGTTGCAAATACCTTTATACTTGGTGTCAAATTTTGTATTTGGAAATTTAATTCATTTTTTTTAAAGCTAAATGCAAAATAAGCCGACTGTTGAACTAAAGGAGAGACAGTCTGCCTCGTCAGCTCCTGAATGAACAGCTGCTTTTGTGTAAATATGTGTTTGACCTAAAGTCACACTTTTTCTAAAATTATATTGTGTTAATACCTCTGGCATCTTTCCCAGGCCCAGAAGTTTGCAGGAAGTCATTTTTAGACAATTCATTAATTTGAGAGTCACCTTGATAGTTCTTTGCAAACAATTTGACAACTATGCCTAGTCTAGATTTGTATTCTCATACTCATTTAAAATGGGGATTGCTTACTTTGCTTTTAAAGAATGCCCTTTTAAAAAAAAAAAGGGACCGTATTAGATTCTCATCTCCTTTGCTGCTAACCCCTGGCTCGGTGACCGCAGCGCCCATTCAGACCGGAGGCTGTCAGTGTCGCCCTGACCACGCCTGAGCCGTGGCGGCCTGCAGAAGAGCATGTCCATGTGGGAACCAGGGCACGCTACCCATGCGCCCACCCGTCCTCGGCTTGCTGGCTTGACTGGGAGCATTTGTTACCAGCTTGAAGTGCTGGCTCACAGGTTTCTTCCTCCATATTTACGACTCTGGTGTAGCTTTAGTCGGCATGGATGTGCTCCAAATGCAGCAGCCTGTGAAAATCAAAAGGCTGCTTCCACACCACCTGGGTCTTGAACCTTCGTTTTTGGTCTTGTAGTAAAGACATTTACAATCGAACGGATGTTGTTCCTTCTTTGAAGCTGTTAGCTTTGTAAATCTGCCAACTTGCTGTGCACATTCGGGATCCTAAGGAATTACTGTTCTGGTACAGTTCACTCACAGAAAAACCCAGATAGTGGTGTGCAAGCTAGCCTTTAGCCAGGATGACGAGTCCGGGTTTGGAATCCTACTTCCTCCACCGGTGCTTCTCAGTCCTGGCCGCTGTCAGAAGCACCTGAATTGAGAGGTGGATGGGACTGCTGTGGACAGAAGGCCAGGCTGGACTCCCTGCAGAGCCGACCTTGACCCAGCGGCCCTGGGGCCTGCATTCTGCGCCTCCCCCCGGTGGCACCACCCCTCAAGGTGCTCAGGGCTCCCCTCCCTGCACTCCAGAACACAGCCCATGTAAAGCCCAAGCCTGTTCTCCAGAAACCTCCAGTGATGGGGCATGGAGGCTCCAGAGCAGAACAGGACATCTGTGTGAGGGAGAAATGGGGTCAGTTACTTTATCAGAAAGTGCACCCAAAACCTGAAACAAACCCGAGGAGTCCTTCCCATGACCCAAACCTTTCATGAACACGAGCATCAGCCATTTTATGAGTTAGCAAATATTTATTTAAAAAAAAATTAGTTTTGTACCATACATATTTATAAAAATGCTATAGAAAAATAACAGCAAATCATTTCCTCTGGGCCAGCATAGCTAGAGCAACTCCCCAGGAAAGCCCATCCCTTCTCCACAGCCGGCACGTGCCAGGTGTCCTGCCTTGGTCTCACCCGGGCCTGGATATACACAGGTCCTATGTGTGGTCACCAGGCCGTCCAAAGGCGGTGCCAACTCTCTCCTCAGTCTCCAGGAAACAGAGACAGAAGTGGTCCTTACTGAGGAGAGCCATTGAGTCCCCGCTGAAATGCCAGCACAGAGAAAGCACCTGAAAGTCACCTGGAGAAAGACAGGTGGCCAGAGGGTTAAAGGGTGAACATGGCCCCACATGCCGTGGGCAGAGGACAGGCCTGGGAAGACCCAGCTACAGCCCCACGTCTCGGCTCAGGTGGGCCTCCTTACATGGCCTAGAAGTTGCGAGCAGCAGGTGGGTGCCAGGTGTGCATACTGGGGGCTGGCTGTGATGTTTCCCCAAACATACTGACTCCCACTTCACACTCGAGGCAGTAACGCAAATGAGCCAGGGTGGGCTCGACCACTGGGGTTCTACCTACGGCCGGCGGGGAGGAACACGGAAGCCAGTGCTCACCTTCCCCCGGCACCTGCACCGACAGGCAGCCCGCCGGCGACCACAGGTACACCTTGCTGCCTCCCGTGCAGATGGCCAGCCGGGGCTGCTGTGGGTCCCACTGGAAGGAGCGCACCGGGGACAGCTGCTCAAGCACCACGAAGAGTCGCAGCTTCTGTATGTCCCAGATCCAGACGGCGTTCGGGACGCTGTCTGAGGACGAGAGATGTGGACCGGTCCTCGTGTCGTCACCGCACACTAAGGGCAGGCCACCAACCCGTGGGCCCTGCTGCCCCGCTGCCTTTGCGGGCGGCACGCTCCCTCCCTCCCCCGCCCCCGGGGCTCACAGCCACACGCAGGCCTGACGACTGCTGAAAACCTGTCTAAAACAGGCCCACGCCGCAGTGGCGCCGGCCCCTGCTCTTTACCAGCGGTCGACCTCCTCCTGCTCTGCCAGACGAGGCTGCGCCTCCAGAAGCGTCCGTGGGCACAACGTCCCAGCAGCAGACGGGAGGTCAGAGCGCTCCGGGCAGCCTGTTACCTGGCTTCCTCCTCCTAGGGTCTGAGCACTGGGGCTCAAAGGAAAGCGTGAGCGGACCCGGCGCGGGCCGCAGCCACTGACCGCTCCTCGTCGCCAGGAAGTAGTTGTCCGGACTGAAGGCCAGTGCGCCTACGCCGATTTTCGGGTTTGCTCGGTCAGCGATGGGCTTCAAAGTCTGTAAGGAAACTGGCGCCGAGGCAATCTCGTCTGGAACATCGAAGAGGGGTCGCTGCGGGTAGTCGCGGGGCGCACGTGGGCGACACCTATGCGGCGGCCACCCCGCCCTCTCGGGAGTGACGTCACGTCAGCGCAATCGGGGCGTGGCCGTGTGCCCCACGGCCAGGAGCCAACGCACCCGTGGCCGCCGCGGGGTCCGCACAGTGGGGATGCCTGCACACGCGGGGCGGGGGCATGCGGGAACTCCGCCTTCCCCTCCATTTCGCTGTACACCCAAAACTGCTCTACGAAAAAGCCTTAAACATCATCATAAAGCCAGCAGCAAAAGGTTGTAAGAGGATGACGAAGGCCAGGTAGGCGGCTGCGCTGGCTGCGTCCAGGCTGCCCCACCAGGGGTGCGGGCCCGGAGGTGGGCCGTAGACACTGCCTGGCCTGCTGGCTGCTCCAGGCCCCTCTCGATCCTAAAGCCCGCGTGACGCCCTCGCTGTGCCCGCTGTACCGAAGCGGGGACTGAAGTGCAGCCAATGGCGGGGACCCACAAGCAGCTCAGTAGCTCCAGGCCAGGCCCCTGACTGCTCCCACCCCTCTGGCTGATCGGAGGGCACTTCACCATTCCTTAAAGAAATCACCCGCAGAGCACCGGCTGTCAAAATGGGATTTCCAGGGCTTAGATGCAATCAACAAACATTTCCCCTGCTCTCCTGATCCATGGGTGGATGGGACGTGTTATAGGAAAGGGAAAGTGTACCGAAAAAAAACAATGTCTGGGGACGCCTGGGTGGCTCGGTTGGTTAAGCGTCTGCCTTCAGCTCAGGTCATGATCTCAGGATCCCGGGTTCAGGCTTCACGTCTGGCTCCCTGCTTGGCGGGGAGTCTGCTTCTCCCTCTGCCCCTACCCCGCTTGTGTGCTCACACGCATGCGTGCACTTTCTCTCTCTCTCAAAATTAAAAAAAAAAAAAAAAAAAATGAAACCTCTCCCAGCACGGGGGAGTCTCTCAAAAAAAAAAAAAAAAAAAAAAAGAACAACATGAATGACCCCCGCCCTCTGCGCTCACATTTGCTCTCCGTGTTGGAGGCTGGGCTGGCCGCTGCTCTGGGTGCGGGGAAGGCAAGGCGGCCCAGTGCCAGCTGCGGATTCTTCTCAGCTTCCTTATATACAACCTGGAACACATGACAGTCCTGCCACCACCCCGCTCAGGACAGGCGGGAGCAGAGGCGGTGACAGCACCTGGTAACAGTGACGCCTGACCTCACGGCAAGGTGTGCCGTTCCCAGTGACAGGACAGAGACGCTGGCCCAGCAACACCCGCTCCCTTGTGGGGGTTCTTAGTGCCCTCAGTGTGTGCTGGCGGCATATAAACCTGCATCACGCGGCCGGCCACTCGGCAGTTAATGGACACAGGCCCAGGGAACGAGGGGGCATCTGTGGCCTGAAGCCTGACAGGCCTGTGCCCAAGGGGACGGAGCCCCCGCTTGCCCTACAGCTTTAGAGGGCGCTGGGGCTGCAGGCTGCAAGGGCCTGCAGCACTCTCCCAGGCCTGGATGGCCGGCCTGCTTGGACTTGGTCTCCTACAACCTCCTTCCCTGCACCTCCAGCCCGGTCCTTCCTCAGGACCTCCGCCTGAGCCTGACTTCCCCACCTACCCCTCCCGGCCTTCCTTCCGTCTTTACTCATGTTTCTCATCTGTGGGCAAGCTCCCCAAGGCTGGGGTCTGTCTGTCCCCTGCTGTGCTGCCCTGCTCCCAGTGCCTGCCTCAGGACCTTTGCACTTCCTGTTCCCACCGCCTGAACAGTTTCTCCCTCAGATCCTGTATCACTTCTTCCCGGCGTCTGACCCAGTGATCCCTCAGCAGGCCGCCTGTCCCTGCCTGCCCCAGGGACACCCACTCTGTACTTCTTGGTCTGCTTCTCCAGCCCCAGATGCTCAGGGCTTGCAGGCAGGAGACCCTGGTTACTGTGCCAAGAGCAGGGGCAGATCTGAGACATCTGGGGAGGGGGAGGAGGGGGCAGGGACACTGCTTCCAATCCTTTGAAATGTTACAGTGACAGAAGTTTCTAGTGATATAAGTACCTACATCACAACCAATAACATAAAGTGAAAAAGCAATATTTTTCTACCTCCCTTCCCCAAATATTGTTCTGATGGCGGCACGTGTTCCAGACTTACTGTTTTGGGATTATTAACAGTTGCTGGATGCCCAAACTCTGTGATCATTTTCCAAGTCACATGATTAAGAATGCGCACCTGAGGAGAGAAAGTACGCGTGGGAGCCCGGTCTGCGCTGTGCCCCCAGTGTCACTGCGTGTGCTGATCTGTCCTCACCTTCCCGTCATAGCTTCCGACCGCCAGGAACTGGCTGCTGGGGCTCCAGGCCACAGACTTGACGCCCAGGGACCACTCGTAGGCACAGTAGGCAGACAAGAGCCGGCCGTCCAATGAGTAGAGCAGGACCTTGTACTGGAGGAGACACCACGGCTGTGGGGACTCACACCGACCTGAGCCCGGGAAGGACACAGACACCTGCCAGTGGGACTCGGACAGTGAGTGGGAAGTCGGAGGGAAGACAGGCCCTCCTGCCGAGGTTACAGTGGGGACCTTGGCCACAAATGTAAGGACCTTCTGGTCAAAGGACTGCTGCTCAGCATCGGAGCCCAGGAAGATAACCGAGCCGCCACATTTGCAAAGCATCAAGTAAACACAGGTCAAAGCACTTAAAACACAAAGGGTCTACCTGGTCACTTTCTATACCTCCAGACAGGTGTCCCACACGGCCAGCACACAGCCATTTGGGGCCCACTCAATCCCTGCGAGGTCCTGGGTTTCCGTATCAAAGTGCTTCCAAAGGCAGGAGGGAGAAACAGATAAACAAATGCACAATTTATAACTGATGTTTTTATTTAAGACATTTAGTATTTGATTTCCTTATATAGAATGGACAAAAATATCTAGAGCTCTGTCCTTCTGCGATTAAAATCCTGCCTGAGCACCACGGAGGTCCCAGGCTAGCCAGAACGTGGCTGGAGCCCACCAGGCAGGACAGGGCCCAGCACGGCCCCTCACACTGCCTGCCCTATGTACCCCTCTCCCTCCTCCTCCTGCCTGGCTCAGCCTCACTCCTGGTAAGGCCAACTCAGGCAAGGTCGTGCCAGGACACTCCGTGCCCAGTTGATGAGGCCTCCGCGGGCTCCGATGGAATGGGCATTCCCACTGCAGAGGCTTCTCTGCACCCGCCCTCCCACAGATGTAAGCCCGGCCAGGGCAGGGCTCTGCACCCTGGGCTGCTCGGCACCCTGGCACCCTGGCGTCTTGCCCAGAGCAGGCACTCCTCTTCCTCATACAGCAACACACGCCAATCACACAGCACATCATGCACCCCACACTCCAGGCGGGCCCATTCGCCACCCTCTGGAGCGAGGCCATGACGCGGCCGCACGCTGTCCCGAGGTGCCCTGGAGCTGCCAGGGACCCACGAGTCAGCCGCCCGCCCGCAGGACTGCCAAGCGCCTCCTACCCGTAGGAGCTGCCAGTCGCTGCAGACGAAGATGCTCACGTGGTCTTTGCAGTCCCGCCGCTCAGCCAACGCCATGTAGCGGCCGTCCCGGGTGAAGGCAATGCCTGCCAAGAGGAAACGAGCCTGCTGTCTGGGGCCGAGGAGGAGAAATCACACTGTCAAGGAGGGAGGAGAAGCAGGAAGCAGAGGGCACAGGAAGGCACAGGCCCACGCGGCCCACAGAGGAGCCGAGCCGAGCGCGCAGGGACCCACAGCGTGGTGACTGTGGTCCAGGCTCCACCGTCCGGGGGGCTGCTCCACGTACACCCGCAGAGCCCGGCTGGGGTCTGTGAGAAAACCAAAGAACCGGACCCCCCAACGAACCACAGGACATCACTGAAAAATGCAACTTACACCTCACATGACACCCTGCGGATCGTTGTTTAGACAATCAATCGTAGGGGACTCTGCTGGTTTAAAGTCAGCTTGTCATTACACTTCCTATTTTTACTTTTGAATTTAATTACTTGGAAGAAGTAAATTTAAGGTAAGAATTTGGAAATAGACTTTGGTTGAAAATGTTAATTTTCCAGTTCTGGATGAGTCTGGAAAAAAGCCCTGGGCCACATCTCACACTTCATGAGCCAGAAGAACACACAAACACCTGTTGCTTCCACTCAAGAAATGTGTATGCTACCCGGAGAGACACTGAGATTCCAGTTATAAAAAGATAAAAAATGAATATGCAATTGCATTTCATTCAAATTCAACTTCTAAATTGCTAATGACAACAGAAAAAAGGAAAGATATTCAAATTACGTAAGGCTTCACTCTGCTTATTAAATGAGAGACACATCACTGCACATTCAGGAACGGGTACCCACTAGCTCCCAGCGGTGGCGGGCCAGGTGTGCAGACCCTTCCCGAGGCTGCCTGGCCACACTCTCTCGGGCACGGAGACCACAGGGCTGGCTGCCAGGAGGCCTAGAGGCTTGAAGTTCAGAACTGGAGTTGGGGGGGAGGGTCCCGGGAGAGGCATGAACTGAAGGGACCTGGGCCCCAGTCCTACGACAGACAGAGGGAAGGGGACCACGTGTAAACCCTACTTCTCTGAGGCCCTTTGATTCTCTCTTGAAAGGGGAGTCCTTGTCCTCTAGAGACACACGTGGGAAATCACAGATGAATCATCAGGTCTGGGTGCAGAGAAAAAAGCCTGGCTCTGCGCTGATACGTTGCCGAGGCTATGAATTCTCTGTGATAAAAGAGGGCCCCCCTCCCCGAACCAAAAACTACAACAAATGGCTTTCAAATCAGCTTCAGCCGACTCACCCTGCTGACAGGCTTTAGGATATTTGATGTAAGACACAGACTTTGTGCACAAGGACCAGACAGTTATCCGCAGCTGTCGAGGAAAAGGGGAAAGAAAACAGCATAGATTTAGCAGTTGCCAAACGGCCACTCTAAGCCTCCCACAGTCTCCTACTCAGTGACCCAAGTAAGCGGTTTATTGGAGAATTAAAAATAGTATAGTTCCAGGGATGTTTTCTTCCGAGTTTACAGTTGTGAAACTTCATGCTCTTGGTATTTGGTTTTCATTTTCTATTAGGTGAGTGACACAGGGTCAAACATAAGTGCACTGTAGTTCGCAATTTCAAAGTAACGGCGGTTTCCCTCTTGCAATGGACCTGCAGAAGCTCTGCAGTCTGAGAAAGACATTCATGTGGGGGTGCTGGATGGGTCGCTGGGGGTCCCCAGCACTGAGGGAGGTCGACCCAGTTCCTCCTGTGCCTTAGCAGACCCGTGAGCAGGAGGGGGCAGTGGGACCGCCCGCACGGTGGCCACGCCGCCCAGGGCTTATGGGGTGACCCCTGTGAAAACACAAATTAAAACCACAAGGAGACAGCACGCCACGGCACAGACTAATAGCAGAAACCTGGAATACGGCGAGTGTCGGTGAGACTCAGCACAGCTGAGCTCTCGCCTCCAGGCTGATGGCTGGGACGCAGAAGGGCACGGGGGAGGCCAGTTGGCAGCTTCCTAAAACTGTCTGCGGGCACCTCCTGGCACCCGGCCCCGGGGTCTCCCCAGGAGCAAGGAGGCGTGCGCAGACACGCTCCTGTGCGTGCATTTGCAGCAGCTTTGTTCGTCACAGTGCGCACGGGGAACAGCCCGACTGTGTGTCTGAGGGCAGGTGGAAAGCAAATGCCCGTCTCCCCGCGCAGCACGGTGGCACCCAGCTACCAGGAACGAGCCGCGGATCCCCCCGACGACAGCGTGAGGCCAAGTGGCAGCCCCCCACCTGCCGTGGTCCCGCTGACGGAGAATGTGGCCACTGGGGCCGGCGCGGGGGCTGACGGGGCGTCCCTGTCCCCGCGGGGTGGACGCCGGAAGGGTGGGTGTACCGCCGACAGCAGTTAACTGGCTTTGTGGATATGTAGGAGAAGGTCTGTCCGTTTGTTTTTTTGAGGCAAGAACACAGAAAAGTGGAAAGTAACAGGACCGAAAAAGACAAAGCACGAGAGCCCAAGCCAGAACGTGGTCGCGCAACGCGAACAGCCACCAACCCGGGCCAGGAGACAAGAAGATCCGTGAGAGAGAACAGTGATGCACAGCCCAGGTTCATGCATCATGACGCGACAAAAGTCCTCGCTGACAGCAGCTACTTACAGAGCCTCCCGAGTACGTTCAAAAACCTGACAGAATGAGAGCAAGAAAGGCAGGCCAGTCCCGTCAAATGCTGACACACCACAAACCCCAGTGACTTAAACAGTGTGCAACTGGCACATCGATGGACCAACAACCAAACAGAAATAAAAATCAGAAGTGTGCAGGGCCCCTGGCGGCTCAGTCGGTTAAGTGTCCAACTCTTGGTTTCGGCTCAGGTCAGGATCTCAGGGTCGTGGGATCGAGCCCCGAGTCTCACGTGGTCAGCGTGGAGTCTGCCTGGCATTCTCCCCCTCTGCCCTCCCTTGCTTGTGCTTGCTTTCTCTCTCAAATAAATAAATAAATAAATAAATCTACTAAAAATTTTCAAAAAAATCAGAAACGTTCTGTAAATACAAAGAAATTCAATTCTTGATAAACACTGTCGGGGAAAAGATAAAAGTTGACCCCCACCTCACCCCACACACCATTATGGACTCCACATGACCCTGACTCACGTGTTTAAATGAAGTGTGAGAGTGTACAGGTATGTAAAACAACATACGAAAGCACTCGACCTCACTAAATGATGAAAATTAAAACCAAAATGCAACAGCACTATAGCTCTACTGGATTGGTAATCATTTTAAACCCTGATACAAGTACTTTGGGAAGTTGAACGCCATCTACCCTAACTAGGCAACCCCCAAGATTACACCCGAGACAGGGCATCTCAACGCAGGTCATGTACAGTAGAAGACGCTCAGCAACGAGGTGGGTCCCGGCACCTCGAATGCCCTGCAATAGCAGAGTGGCATGATTTCTCTGAGGAGGGATGGAAGAACGAGCCATACCTTCCATGTGGAAGAACTGAAAACCACTGAGGGGAGACAGAACCACCACAGAATACAGAGTATGAATTCATACACATAAACTTTCAACAGATGCAAACCAAACAGCAGTGTGCACACGCCGGTCTTCCCTTCTTATACTCCTGGAACCTTGTCCAAAGGGCCCACAATTTCTTTGTCATATGGATGTACACGAGGCAGGGAGCCCATGGAACGTGCCCATCTGGAGACTGGATTCTGGCCCCAAGAATTCTAATCATGAAGACTGTCAGGCAAGGCCACATATATAGCTCAGATCACCATATCCGAGAACTTCGAGTTGTAAGCATCTTTAAAAGGTCAGCGTGTGCACTACAGGGAAACCAAGTGCCCTTCATGTCCTGCTCGCTCTCCAACAGGCTGTATCAGCAGAAACCACATTTAAAGCAGGTTTTCAAACTGAAGCAGCTATGTGAAGCCACATGGCCGACTGAAGCAGCCATCCCCGCACGGCTGGATGCAAACCTTATCCCAAATGATGCCAATGTGAAAAAGACTGAAAAACACTGAAGAACACCCAAAGGGTCACTCCGCATCCTCATGGCTCCCTTGCCACATGCATGCATTAGGCAACTGGGAGCCCAGGCCTCGGATAGCCCTCAGGGGCTTCAGGCCCAAACACTGGGTTATAACACCCCCTCAAAGACACATCATTAAGGGATTCATGCATTTTTCTACACTGGAAACAGTGCCGACACCAAAGACCGTCTACCCTAACACCTTATATTCCAAATTCCCTAATTTTACACATTAATGAGGCATACTTATACTGTCCCAAGATTTATTACCAGATTCCAAACACCCGTGTATGTACATGGAGCCCCGGCGCAGTGCCAGGGCCCAGGGGGAGCGCCAGGGTGGAAAGAACGGAAGGGCGAAGCAGTGACCGATGGCCACAGGTCAGGCAGCTGAAGGGAAAAATGGAAGTTCGTTCACAGTGAAGCTCACCTTCTACTGTCAAAGTAAAGGCACTGTTTAAATCTTTAAAAATGTAATTGAAGAATTTTTTAAAAGTCTGCTTTTTCTTTAAAATTGGGGGAAAAGATTATGTAACGACACAATGAGATTCTAACACTCTGATGACTTAAGACACACATCCTTCTCTAAGATTCACCCACTTTACCACTACCGTGGGATTTCAGGAGAAAGGGGCCAGGGACGCGTGCCTGCGCACTTACGTGGAACTCGGTGGTGTTGAGGATGTGGCGGCCGTCGGGGCTCCAGCACGAGGCCACCAGCCCGGCCGAGCCCTCGTCGATTCTGCAGTGCCACTCCGGCTGCTCCAAGGACCACACCTGCATTTGCAACACACACGAGTGCAGAACCACGACAGATCAGCACGTGGACCAAGCCAAAACACAGCTCATGACACAGGGCATCTTTCCAAACCTTTCCTGAGGAGGGGCCGGGGCCTGCTTGCGGCACAAAGCCACAGTGCTATGTGACTTCGCTGTGCTGAGTTTTAAACAGTTTATTCCTTTTGCCAGCCCTAAGAGCTCCTGCAGGGAGACTTTAGATCTATACAGAACACCACATCTACGGCTTCCCACAAAACCCATGATGTCCAAGTTGCTACACAGCTGTCTGTGAATACTTCCTGTTACAGAATTCTATCTGCTTACAAATTAAGAATATCTAAGTGTGTTCTTGTTTTGAAAGCACTTAAACTGTTAGAACAATTATAATTTTAAGAGAAAACTGGCTTTGAGCTACACTGCCTCCTTTTCTCCCCCCCAAACTATAAGGGTAACAGAACACGAGCGCTCTGTCCGAGCTACCCTCTGGGAAGGCCTCCTGGCTCCGAGCCCTGCGGGCAGCGCACCTGCACCAGCCCCCGCTTGTACATGGCGCACAGGATGAACAGGGAGTCTGCCGACCACTCGATGTGCTGGATCTGGTCCAGGCATGTGTACAGCTGAAGGATCTGAAGGGTGTTCACATCCCGGATCACTAACCGGTACTGGACACAAGAAGCCTAGAAAGGGAAAAGAGACCCTTGATGGTCTACAACCTAAAGGAAGGGAGGCTTCAGAATATCTGCACTCCCCTCCAGCCAGGAATTCCATTTCCTTCTCTCCTTTCAGTCCCATCTTCTAACTGGACGACTCATGTTCACCGACTGTATCACCCACTTGAAACAGAAAAGAAGTTCACACAAGGATACAGCTGAAATATACAAAATATATGTTAAAATTGTTATGTTCCAGGGTAAAGTAACTTGAGTCATTTTCTACTCCTTTCCTACTTACACATTAAGAACTCAAGAAGGAAGCATGAGACGAGCTCTCCTGTGAACTAACCAAGGGCTCTGCTGTTTGGGGCACCTGCAGACAAGTAGGAAGTGAGGAGGGAGGTCTCGGGGTGCTCGCTGAGAAGGACCACTGAGACGTAAGGATGCTTTGCAAACGCCCACTTACTCTGAGGTAACAGAACATACATACTAGTCTCTGCCCCCAGGCCCTAACCCAAGACACCTGAAGCCCTTGAAACCTTCTGGGTCATAGGAGCATCTTTGCTCCTATTGTTGTTGTTCTGATGAGGCAACTCTAGGTGGGTCTCCTGGTCACCAGAAACACCAGCTATGATTAGAAGCTTGGAATTTTCAGCCCCACCCCATCCTCCAGAGAGGGGAGAGGGCTGGAAATGGAGTTAAGAACTGGTCATGAGGCCTCACTGATATGAGGAATTCTTAATCTCAGGAAACAAACTGAGTGTTACTGGAGTGGTTGGGGGTGGGAGGGATGGGGTGGCTGGGTGATAGACATTGGGGAGGGTATGTGCTACGGTGAGCGCTGTGAATTGTGCAAGACTGTTGAATCACAGATCTGTACTTCTGAAACAAATAACGCAACATATTTTAAGAAAAAAGGAAAAGAAGAAGATAACAGGAGAGGAAGAAAAGGGGAGTATGTCAGAGGGGGAGACGAACCATGAGAGATGATGGACTCTGAAAAACAAACTGAGGGTTCTAGAGGGTAGGGGGGTGGGGGGATGGGTTAGCCTGGTGATGGGTATTGAGGAGGGCACGTTTTGCATGGTGCACTGGGTGTTATGAACAAACAATGAATCATGGAACACTGCATCAAAAACTAATGATGTAATATATGGTGATTAACATAACAATAAAAAAAATT